GAGTACAGTTTGGGATTCGAAGCTTTAGGCAGACCTCAGTGAGCATCTGTTAGGCAAAGGAATGATCCTTGACAAAGATATACAGAACAAGGACAGATTCTGCCAGGAAACAAAAATAAACAGAATGGAAAATATGACTAACTGTGGTAGAGGAACAAGCAATATAGAAATAGTATGTAATGTCACTAAGCTAAAGTCATCTTCCACAGAGAATAGTCATAATTAAAACTTTAAGACTTACATATGCTTATGATTCACAGTTGTGGAAGCAACAGTACAAAGAGTAAAAAAAATAAAAGAAACCTAACAGTATTTTTCTTTTAAGAAGGAAGTGTAAGAGCAGAGAGTAGAAGGAGTAGAAAATGAGTTCTTTGAATATAGTTTCATCCTGCTTGGTTGGTAGTTTAGACAACATGTTCCTATTATGCTGTTAAAATTTAAAAACATAAATGGATATGCCCAGCTCTCCAGCAAAGACTATCTGACTTCCAAAGCCATGCTTTTATTTTATTGGAGGGAAAATAAAAAAGTTCATTTTATTATAAACATGGAAGCCTAATAGATACCCAAAGTTACTTGTTTAATAAAATGCTCTAAATAGACATGATTGCTAAGTTAACAACCACCAAAGAAAGCCAACAGAGAACTCGAGAGTATTAGTTTTCTGTTATTGTTTAGCAAATTACCACAGACTTTTCAGCTTAAAACATAAAACTTATAAACTCACAGTTCTGTAGGTGAGACAGCATGCCTGGATTCTTTGCTCAGGTCTCACAAGGTGGGAATCAAGGTATCCTTTCTGGAGGCTGACAAGAATCTGACTCCAAGCTCCTTCAGGTTGATTGCTAAATAATGTTCTTGTGACTGCAGGAGGACATGGAGCCTTATTTCCTTGCGGTTGTGAGCAGGGGGCAGCTTTCAGATCAGAGGCAGGCACCCACCTCTTTTGCTATGTTGCCTCCCTCTATCTTCAAAGTCAGCAACAAAGGATTTCCCACATTGGCTGTCTCACACCAGGAAGGGCCAGTCCCTTTTAAGAGCTCACTTGATTAAATGAGAACCACCAGGGTAGTCTCCCTACCTGAAACTGCTTTGAAATTCTACTTACCTCAGCAGTAACACTCCACAGCTGTACCCTGGATTGTGTATCTGAAAGAAGGCACGGGTACACCAGCCAAGTGGGAATCTCAGGGGGCCATTTCAGAATTGCTTCATATAGTAAGAAATTCAGGATTATGATTTCTTCAATGGGAATTAGTAGGTTGTTTATATACTGCAAATTGAAAAAGTTTAAAGCCTATAAATGCAATATTGATTTTTCCAGCTTTATTAGGATATAATTAACAAAAACTGAATATATTCAGTGCTCTCTTGATATGTATATGCAGTGTGAAATGATTGTAGCCAGAAACTAATTAATATTCCCATTATCTCAGTTACCTTTGGTGGGGGTGGGATGGGGGCATTGAAGATATATTCTCGGCAAATTTCAAGTATCTTGTCTTGTAAAAATAAAAGTTTCTGATAGGAGGGTCTGCTATTCAGCTTCAACAAGTAAAAAACTAAGAAGCAGCTTAAAAAATAAAGAAAAAAAACAGACATAAGAATTCTAAGAGTCAATTTCTAAGAGTGTTTTAAAATTTTATTTCAATCGTATCTAAGTAATTACTATATCTTATTATAAATACCACTCTCATGATTTTTTTGAAATCAAGGATTAGTGACAGTAATGCTCCATGGAGAATTAAAAAACACTAATCAAGTTAATGAAGAGGAAAAATTGATTTGCAGTTATTTAACAATAAAAATGATGACTCTTTTTAATTCTGTCAGCCATTCCCCAAAATTAGTTAGGAAACTGCTTTAGAGAAAACCATCCAGGAAGAAAGACTAGATYGAAGAACATTACCAGTGTAGTCTCATAGTACACTGCAGTGGCTTTGTTAATCAAACAGTATACTGTTAAACTGTAAAATGTATCTTCTTCTTTATTGCTCTTCCCTCTTCTGATAATTTCTAATATTATTATGTGAAACTCCAGGATAAGGAGATAAGTAACCTCAGTTCTCTATGCATCTTTGGGTGAGTCATTTATCTCTGGGTCCCATTAGCTGCATATATAAAATAAAGCCATTCTAGACCTTCCAAGTTGAAATGGGCCTTTGAAACCATGTTCTTCACAAATTCTACATAGCTCRAAAGTCATATTTATGAAATAACAACTTTTTTAGAAGGGAAAATATTCTAAATAGATAAATCAAATATTTTAATAGCTAAAACAGGGTGTTTGGTCCTGGTTGGAATAAGTTATCACTTTTAATTTTAGATTAAATTTACAATGATGATTGAGCATTTCAATAAGTGAAGCCTCTTGATCCTGCCCCCAGCCTCCTAGCAATTCAACACACAGGACTACTGATTTACTTATGTTATCCAGTTCTTTATTTGTCAATTAAAAGAATTTCATTATCCTACAAAGTTACATAGATGCTTCCAATTTCAAGGCTAATATATTAAAATCAATTCAGTTTTCCTTTAAAATAAAGCTTTGTCACCTTCTTGGCATTATCTACAAAAAAACATGAGAGAAGGCAGAATTCACAATTAAATTACTCTGAACTTTACTGTATTAACATTCCTGGACTTTTGACATAATTCAATTCACATTTACTGAAAGGTTATGATATGTCTGATTTTGTGTCACATGATAAGTATTTAGGGGCATCTTTTTATGCCCAGCACATAGTACATCTTTAAAACTCAAGAGGTACAAAGTGTTTCTAGATAAATATAGATAATTCAAGGATCTTGCTTCAAATGGAAATGAGGGAAACAGGACAAATGATAAAACGAAATAAAATACGAAATCACTCCGTGGCAAATGTGTCTTACAAAACAGCCTCCAAAGATGTCCACATCCCAATCCCTGGAGCCTATGTGTCACAGGACAAAATTGAATTGAGGGTACACATGGAATAAAGCTGCTGATCAGTGGACCTTAAATCACATGAGCTCTTAAGCTAGTAAGGGAGAGGGGGAGAAGAGCGTGACAGATGGGACTAAGAAGGACCAGATCCTCCTTTGTTGTCTTGGAAGATGGAGGAACAGGACTGCAAAAACCAAAATATGTGAGCAGATTCCAGAAGCAGAGAATAGCAGGAAATAGATCCTCCCCAAAGGCTCCAGAAAATAATAGAGTCTTGCAACACCAGGCTTGATTTCTATCCAGAGACCCACTTTAAACTTCTAACCTACAGACTGTAAGATAACAGTTTATTGTTTTAAGACAAAAAATTTGTGGCAATTTGTTACAACAGCCCTAAGAAACTAGTTATGCCAGGGTTACAGAATTGGTTTCAGCTGTGAGAAGGCTTCACCACCAAAGCATTATCAGTGAGATGTGAAAGGCCTGGGAGCAATGGAGGAAACAGTTGTTTATGAGTTAAATCCTTCTACTCCAAGTGTGGTCCCTTCTAATTAACCCTGGTGGGAGATTGCTGGAYGTGTTTTTTGTTTGTTTGCTTTTGGGTTGTTTGTTTTGAGGGGGATGCAAAAATAGCCAGAGCCAGCCTTTTAACAAGACCCCCAGATAATCTGCATTGAAATTAAAGTTTGAGAAGCACTAAATTTATTAAAAACCTAACTTTCCTATGTGCATAAATGAATACTCCATAGTGAATCTCACCTTTGTGTATGTCCACAGGACACTAATTTAAAAAGAAAAGAAAACAACTAAAGTAAATAGCAGAAAGATCAGGAGAAGTACAGGGAAGGAAACAGTGAGGAAGGAGGGAGAGGAAAGAGAAAGCACTGGGAAGAGAATGAGAGCAAATTATATTCCATGTTGTTATAATTATGTCAGGATGAATCCTAATGKTATGTATAACTAAAAAGAACCAATAAAAAATTTTAAAAAAGGAAAAAAGTATTAAAAGCTATTTTAAAACATGTAGAAATCTTTAATTCTTCTTTTCTGACTCACAAATGTCTGGAAGACATACTTAAACATACTGACAAAAAGAATGCTCAGCTGCTGTTTGTTAACATGAACAAAAGGGAAAAWTTTTTTTTCTACTGCTCTTAATGAAAAGGTCCTTCAGTTAAATCCATCTGCTCTCACCTGCAAAGAATTTTCCTTTAAAAGGCCCATGAGCTGAAAGATTATAAATGTCAAAGTTTTATTACCTTTGAATAAATATTAGAATCCACTGGACTAGTACTCACAGAGCCATCTTATGCGGGACAAAATAATTTCATTCACATAATACATTTGCTTTAATTACTTTAATATAAAAGCACTGTTCCACATTTCACACAGTGTTAAAAAACAATTTTAAAACACTAAAATAAGTATTTGATAAAAATAAGTTTATTGAAGGGTAACAATGACCACAAAATTAGTACTTCCCAATCACTACTAGGCCTTTGCATTAACCACATTTGGAGGGTAGGCAGAGAAAATATGAAATGGAAAATGTATATTTTAAAGCTACATTTTTACCCACCCTTTAACTTTCTGCTAAATCTTGTTTGTCCCTACTAAAAGGTATACTCAAGATGATTGAAAAGACAATTCAGATAAAGTCCTACTAAAGAGATGTTAAAAAACATACTCCATTAATGATATGGCATTGCAAACCATTCCATCTGTTTACAAAATTGAAATAAAATAAGCAATGACACAATGAATCTTTCTTGATAAAAGATTTCATAAAAAAAAAATAGAGAATTAGTGGTGGGGACCAGAATGAGAAAATCAGTACAATCAATAAAGACAAATAATTATTCAACATAATTTRGTCTGGTTAGATCAGTGCAACTCACTCAATAGGTAATTCAATAACATTATGAGAAGTGGACAATGGGAACCAGAGTCCTCTTTTTAAATTCATGTATAATAATCCTATTTCAATTGACCTGTAATGTGAAAGCCCTGAATCCACCTTAACATTATAACATATATCTTACAATAATATAAAAGTCAAATCATCATCAATACATTTTTTTTCTCTAAAGTGCACAATTTAAGAAAACTTCACCAGAGTGTGCACTTTTGAAAGGTATAATAGTGTATACAATATAGACAAAACAGGCACCTCCATTGTATTTTTTTTTAATAAATAAAAGCACATTAAGGAAAAAGAAGGTGAGCAGCACCTGAAGCCTTTGACATTGGTAACTAAATGCCAGTACCAAGTAGTCTAGCCGCTTACGTGTTACTAAGAGCCGCAAAGAAGGAGCCATTTTTGACTTAACATTTTAATTTTAGTAGAAACAAGAGCTTGTCTGGGCTTACAATCCTTCACCTGGTGGTGAGGAGGGTACCAGTCCTTCAAATGTCCTATACTTTAGACAGCAGACCGGACTCCGGAGCACTCGCCTTAATGAGATTCTGGATTTCCTTGAATTTTGGATGGTCTTTATCTGCGACCAGCTGCAGCAGAACAGCCTCACTCGTGGTCACTATGATCCCAGTTCGAGCAAGGCGCTTTAAGAGAAAAGATAGACCAATAAGCACAACTGAGAAGACAGTGTGACGATGAACACTATTTGAAAACAGCAAAAGTGTGCCAGGACACAATAGTTAGTGTCTTCAATTACAACCATGGTCCTTGACCAAACCAGCAAATTCAGTGATGGGCAAAATTTTCAAAACTAGCCATATCACAAACTCATTGTTATTCTTCTCAATATTAGTAACATGGACTAAAACTAAGTAAAAGAAAACAGGTAGACACTATTATAACCTCTTGGTGCAGGGACAGGAGAGTAATTGAGGCTAATGCTATACAACATATAAAAGGTTAATGCAAGGGGAACTTCACCATTGATTATCTGAACACTTTTCATTGCTGCTRTTTCCTAAGTACTATTTGCAGATTTTTGCTTCATCTCTCATTCATTTGTTCACTCTATCAAATGAGAACTATTTTTGTTTTACTCCTATATTGATTAAACTCTTCAATTTTTATTTCTAGCATTGAGATAAAAAGAGATGCCTCTGTCCACATTCCCGCTGAGCAAATAATATGAGATTACAAAATAGATTATGATGTGTATTAGTACTTATGTCTGGCATCCCTGGCATGTGGTAGCAATTTATTTAAAAAGAAATGGCAGAGAGGGTGGCTAATACTTGAAAGCTCCACTGGTTGTGCTACAGATATTACTGTTGCTGTCTAAAATATTTCATTACCAACTAACTATCCCATTTCATATAACTAAAGTCTGTAATTGCAAACTACTATTAAGAATTAAAATGAGGGTTCATAATTTTTCAGCCCCCAAACATCTGACAGTTTTTCTCATAAGTCAGAGCTGCCCTGTCTTGAGATAACTGGCAGAAGAAGAAAAGAGCCCCGAGAGAGGTTTAAGAATGTATCCCCTGGGGTGATAAAGGAGCCATCACCTCTGCTGCCATCATAAACATTTCAGAATCACTAAACAAGAGTATAAAATTTAAGGTTGTGTAAAGTTTCCCTGACAGGTCAAAGAATGCCCTTGACAAACTGTTCCCATGCAATCATAATAACTAGGAAAGAAATCTCCAGGAAGGGAAGAGGGAGAGGGAGCAGAGAGGAGAGGGGAGCAAAGGGAGAGAGGGCAAAAGAACAGAAAATAAGGGGAGAAGAAGGTAGAAAGAAGACAGAGGGAGGATTCCATAGCAGAGATTCATTTTCTGCATGGATTTATCATCAAAAACCTGGTAAAAAAAAAAAAAAGCAAAAAAGCAGGCAAACTGCCATCCCAGGAAACATCCACTTTAAGAACCACAGAAGAGGACATCATTAGGCAAATCAGAGGAAAGACCCAACTGGGGCTCTCTCTGTAAAGGAGGAAGCACTGGCAGAGCCAGGACATCCCTGTGGAGTATGCAAATCTTCCTTCAGACAATTGTGCAACCACAGACCCAACATTTCCACTGAGAGACTCCTCTTTTTTGATCCCCAAGGACACAGAAAGGACTATAAACCATAACCTACTTAGAAAGCAAGCTCTGCTCTCAACAGCCAGTATAGAACAGGGTGCAGAGTGGCTACCCAGACTAAAAAAAAAATACAGCAACGAGTTATGCAGAAAGTGGGGAAGAAGCAGGCCCATGGGTGCCCTTCTTGAGGTCAGACAAATCCAGGTGTAAGTTTTTTTAAAGATCTGGAAACTCTAATTTCCTACTTCTTGATGTTTAATCAACTGATTATCATTATCAAAACTCAATGTCAAAACATCTTCTGCTTCCTTCAGACAGAAAGGCAGAGAACATAAGACAAGTCTGATGTTGAGAAACACCACTAAATGTCYGCTCTTCTAGCCCAGCTCTCACCCAGCCAGTGTCTGCCGTGCCTTGCCTATGGATCACTGCCAAACCAAAGGACTTCCAATGACTCAGACTGCCTGAATCACACATTCAATGTCTGAGAAAGCATTTTACACAGAGCCACACTGTCAACAAAGGTCAGCTCCCACTCATGATTCTAGTTCCTTAATGAGGCAGGAAGGGAAGGAAACCGTTTCTAGGACCAAGGAAGATAGCTGTGCACCAGGAAAGAACCTATGGACGATGTGCAGCTCTTTCAAGTGCTCCACTGGCCAGAGCCCACTCCATTCTGCCAGGATGATTCTCAGAGATGCTCAGAGTCAGGTTATACAGGGGCAGGAGCAGGCTGGGAAGCTCATCACAGAAATATGTTTGGGTAAACTGACACCTACACAAGACTAGCTGGCATGGAGACTGAGATGAAGCCAGTATTGATCCGGTTTTCAATCTAGCCAAGAACTTGTGTTAAAAGAAGCTGTGGCAGAGCAAAGAGCATAGCTTTTAGCTCCAGCAGGTAGACCKGAGCACAATGCCTGCCTTGGGGAGCCTGAGGGCAACTGAGCAGAGAAAGGCAGTGGCAGTTCTGGATGTACGGGGCAGATTCTGGGCACCACCTGATAACAGGGTTCCAGCCCTACTCTCCCCTCGGCACATGTGCATTGGGTTTCCCCTTACACTTGTAAAACAGTCCAGCGAGGCCAAAGAAAAAGAAAGGTTTTTGACACACAAACCCCAAAATAAAAGTACACAAAGTCATGAAAGAAGGTGCAGGGGAAGGATAAGCCCACCAAATTCCTCAACATTACTAAAAACTACCCAGAACTATAAGCACATCCACGTTCAAGTGAGGATTTAATCCTATTTTATTGTAGATTTATTGTATAATTAATTATTAGTTGAAAGAAACAATGCCTGACAGATGGCAGGTACTCAGGAGGCATTTGCTTGGTTGATTGAAGAATGGATTGTTTATAGTGCTGGGAACTGAACCCAGGGCCTCATGTATGCTAGGCAAGAGGTCCACTATGGGAGGCCACCATGCCTAGGAGCCAAGCACCCCCTCTTAGCCTTGAGCAAAGGGGCTATTGAACTGGCATCGCACGCCATGCGCTGTGCAAAGCAAGTGGCCTTCACCTCTGCCTGGCAAAGAAGTGCGTCAGCTCTGGACTTGAGCATTTCCCAATGGGATTGGGCAACCCCCCACCTTTGAAATATTATCTCCTGCCTTATTTGGGTAGAGTATTCTATCGAATGTCTTTTCCCTAATTAGTAGGGGGATTCTGGGTACACTCTCTCTCTTGCCTTCCAGCGTGAAAGAGGATCCTTGAGGTCCACAATTCCCACCCACTTTGTGAAACAATTCCTTTCATGTCCCTGCGCTCTTTTCACCACCAGCCCAAACCACAGAGAGTGATCTGATTCCAACACCCCAGACCTGAAAACATCGATTATTGAATAAAGAATTCTGAGACTTGCTAACTATGAATCTTATTAGTATAATAATCTTAATAAGCAATATGGATAATGTCAGGAATTATAGTAAGTAATTACATTCTAAAGGAATACAGAAAAAGAGGAGATAGCCACATTGCTATTTTAACTTTCAGAGTGAGTTAGAGAAAAAAAAAAATGGGGAAGTGGAATGGTGGGAGGCAGGGACAACATTTCTAAAAAAAAAAAAAAAAATCAGAGATGAACTGTATCACATCCACACCAAAATAAGACCAAGAGGAAAATTCTGCAATTGGTTAAGTGTCCCCATCACCAGTGACCTGCTCTATGATTTTTCTCCCTTTAACAATTTCAACACTTGAACCCCAGGAAGGTTCTTAAAATCTACCACAGACAACAAGTATTTTCCTTCCCTTCTAGAACTTCTCAGAATGAGTCCCTTTGGGGTCTTGGGTTTCATATGCTTAGATATTTCTGGTAAAACTAACCTCACGAAGCGAACAACAAATAACAACAATAGATCTTTAAAAAACAAACAAACCAGGACACATGATCTCATTCAATTTTCACATTATTGCTACCAAGTAGTTGCTATTATTACTTCCTCCCCATCAATGAGAAATTTAAAGCACAGAGTTCACAAAACTTGTTCAAGGACACAAACTTATGAAACGCCATCCTTGCATTCAAACCTACATTACTGCCCCACTGTTTGTACTCCTAATCACTGAGAAGACAGGCAGCCTGTCAAAGATTAAGGTCTGGATGATAATTAACTGACAATGTTTTTAATCTAACTCTTTATCTAACCATGATAAAGACATGGCTAAGAAACATATATGAATGGATATGTAATTTCAGACAAGTCCTTGAAATTTCTTTACAGATAAGGAAAGTTTCATTTTATTTGTGTCTTCTGGATTTGTTATTGTTGAGTCCTTTTAAATACTTCCAGCATGAAAATAAAGTTCATGTACACATGAAAAGAGCTACTTGATGAGGTGGTCAGGACCTGACAGACCAAGTGTATAAACCCAGGTCTCTATGGAAACTTCAGTGGAAGTTGATTGACTCAAGACTAAGGTGGCTTACAGGTATTTCCTGAGATTGGAAGACACGACACTTAATAACTACCAGCAAATCCACAGTATCAGTGGACTTGAAAACAGTTTTAAAAATAAATTAAACTATTTATACCTGTAATCCTAATACAGGACTCACCGCGTTAGGAATAAGAGAGGAATAAGAGGGAAGGGATGGCCAACCAGGGCCTTAAGTCAACTGCGGCTGCCAGCCAGGGCCTATTTCCACATTAGCCCTCCCTACTCCCTTTAATCTTCTCTTTCCTGCCTTCTGCCTAGCCCTTCCCGTTTCATGTATTCCAGTTTACCACCGTGAAGAACACAGTAGACTACAGAGATGATTCAGCAGTCCTATAGGGGAAGTTGTTCATGGGACATGCACCAAACACTGGAAGACCTCAAAAAACCCCAAACAACAAAAAACAAAAAACCTCCCATATTTCCTAGTCAGAACTTAAATCTACCTGTATATTTCTCTAAAAATCACTAGAGAATCAGAATTAAATATAAAAGAGACACCATACACATACACACTATGAAATGAAAGTTTCCCATTGTGGTATTTTCAACCATCTTCAAGTAGAAAATGCTAGTTTAAGACCAATATTAGGAATGTTGAGAATCACTGATCCCTTGACTCAATGGGACACCATAATGCTCTCATGCTAGAAAGCCATAAAACTCTGTATGTGAGTGGTGTTCAGTCAGGGAAACACCTCTTAGCCCCAGAAATTTAAGTCTGAGGAAATCTAATATAAGGCTAAATTGACTTGGGCCTGTTCTGCCCTAGTATTCAGTTAGATCTTGGCTGAGTTAAACCCAAGTGAGCCGTTTCTAAATCTCTAGACAGGTTATGCTTCTTGAAAATCTCTTAGCCCATGTATAACACTAGAGCAAATTTAACAATCAAACGGGGAAAAGAACTTTTTGCAACACTAGAGATCTAACTCCAAGGAGGAAACAAAATATAAAATAGGATATGTGGTAAGACTTTAAACACCTGTCAGTGCATAGTAGTCTCTAGAAATTAAGGAGTCTGAAAACCCCACATATCTACAGTCATCTGATCTTTGACAAAGGCGCCAAAATCATGCAGTAGAGAAAGGCCTCTTTAACAAATAGTGCCAGGAAAATTGATCATTCTTATGTAGAAGAATGAGACTACACTCTTATCTCCCAACCTGTATAAGAGTAACTCACATGAATCAAAGAGCTAGGAATTTGACCAGAAACTATGCAACTTCTAGAAGAAAATATATGGTCAACATTCCAGCAGATAGGCACAGGCAATGACTTTCTCAATAGGACCTCTAAAGCTCAGGAAAAAATGCCAAGAGTTAATAAATGAGATGGAATCAAATTAAAAAGCTCTGCACAGCAAAGGAAGCAATTAGGAATGTAAAGAGAGAACCTACAGAATGGGAGAAAAACTTTGCTAGCTGCTCTCCTGACAGAGATTAACATCTGGATATATAAAGAACCCCCAAAAATTAACACCAAAAAACCAAATAACCCAATTAACAAATGTCAAATGAATTAAACAGACACTTCTCAAAGATAGAAGTACAAATGGCCAATAAATATATGAAAGTGTTCAACATCATTAGCAATTAGGGAAATGCAAATCAAAACTATACAGAGATTTCATCTCACAACAGTTAGAATGGCAGTCATCAAGACTACAAATAATAATAATAAATGATGGAGAGGATGTGGAAAAAGGGAACACTTTTGCACTGTTGGTGGGACTGTAAATTAATAAAATCACTATGGAAATCACTATAGAGGTTCCTAAAAAGATTAGGCATGTAACCACCATATGACCCAGCTATTGCACTCCTCAGTATTTATTCCCAAAGAATTAAAGTCATCATACTACAGTGATTCATGCATACGCATGTTTACAGCAGCACAATTTGCAAGAGCCAAACTATGGAACCAGCATTGATGTCCCCATCAGATGAATAGATTAAAAAAAAGTGGTACACACACACACACACACACACACACACATATATATATATATATATATATATATATATATATATACATACACATACATACATACATAATGGAGTTTCATTCAGTCATCAAAAAAAAAATTATATCATTTGCTGGAAAATTAATGAAACTTGAGAACATTGTGTTAAGTAAAATAAGCCAAACTCAGAAGGTCAAGGGTCAAATGTTTTCTCTCRTATGTGGAAACCAGAGAGGAAAAAGGAAAGGAAAGGTGAGGATGGGGGCAGGGACCTCATGAAAGTCAAAGAGAGATCAGAAGAAGAAAGGGACCTGGGATGGCAGATGGAGAGGGAGGGGGAAAGTTCTGGGGAGGGATATTGGCCAAATTATATTGTTATGTAGTGGTATGTACTAATATGTAACAAAAAACCCCACCATTATGCACAACTATAATGCACCAATAAAAAATGTGGAAAAAGAAAAAAAGGAAATGAATGAGTCTGATACTCTCGGACTAAGCTTAAATTTAAGAGGCAAATTTTTTATTAATCCTTAATGTTTAATACTCCTACTTTATGTGGAAAACTTGATAAGTGCCTTATTTTCAAGCAGGACAATTACCTCAAGAGCAAACATCCTGTCCATCATGCTTCTTGATGAAGTGGCGTCAGCAACAATATGAACCTCAATTCCTCGGCCAATGAGCTCCAGAGCAGTTTGCTGGATACATACATGAGTCTTGCAGGAAAGCAAAAAAGAATCCTATGTAATAACATGGTCAGCCAGAAACTATTTTACACATGTATAATACCATGATAAAATAGAGACCACAGAAAATGGCCTTGTTCTATATTTAGTTTTGCATCTAATTATCTAGGTAAGCTTGAGCATAAATCAGCATCTCTGCCTTTGGTTTATTCATCTGCAAAAGTCAAGAACTAGATTATATCAGTTTCTCATATTAGGAATCCTGACATATTCTTAAGAGTTTTGTGTAAAATTTTTGAAGATTGTCATCTGCATCCTCTGAGTGACCTTCAGATAGCTGACTAGCACTCAATTTTGGTGCCACTTGCATATGGATTTATTCTGCGTGTATACCAAGTGCCCAACAACAACAACAACAAAATGAGTCTGATGTATTTCAAAGTCAAAAAGTAGTGGGAAACTGAATTATTACAAGATACCTCGTCATAGAGGTAGTTCAAGTCAAAACAAATTATGATAAAATAATTTAAAAACATGGTAAACAAAAAGTATTTGGTAAACATACAACAATATGATAAAGCAGAAAGAGCACTATGAATGTAATGACCTTCTTCCACATCTAGTTTTACTTCTAAGTAGCTAGATGATCTTAAGTATAACTCAGCATCTCTGGCTTGGGTTTAATCATTTGGAAAATCAGGAATTGATGGATACTCAGTGTATAGCACCAGCAATTGTTAAATTATGTAGACAATCCTATTATATAGATACTATCTTTGTAAATAGTAACTTGTAACAATTCATTATCAGAGAATATAGAATAAAAACATACTCCAACAATAACCAAATTATAAAACCAATGAAAGCAGATTTCGGTAATACCACATATCAATTTCATCTTCATATGACAAGACAGCTTTGGAGAATCATCAACTGACGCCTCATTAAAATTAGCAACAGAGGACTACTCAAAGTCAGTTTTGATTAAGCATGTCTAATTGTGATGAAGAAAAAATAAATGTGCAAAATCAAGCAACAACATTTGGTATGACAAATCAGCTTCTCCTATACTATCATTATTGAACCAGAAACATCAGAAATGCTAAATAAACATCTAATAGTAGAAATAATACTTCTATTATTAAAACCCGTAAAACTTAATAGCATAAAACTTACTATCAAAATATCATAACCATATTCAATTGTTATTTTGATTTCATAGTTTTAATAGTTTTCTTTCTAATTTTTAATATTTTAGTATATAAAAAAGGAATAAATCAACTGAAATCAGCATTAGAAACCTATGAGTACTTTTTTCATCTAAAGGAGTATGTACATGATTCAAATTTGAAAAACAAATTACATGACCTTTAAGATTTTGCTAGCATAAAAATATGACCAAAGTGAAATCCTATAACACATAAATAAAAATAATCCTTTGGTAAGAATGTAGTAGTTAAAAAGTAGTGGTTAAAAAGTAGTGGTTAAAACCATGGTCTACGAATCAGTCAGGTGAGATTCAAATCCAGCCCCATCCCTTACTAGATGTCTGTCCTTGGGCAAGTTATACTGAGTCTCTGTAATTTTGTTTCCTTACTCATAATACTGGAACATTAAGAATACTTAGCTCATGAGTTTGCTGTTATGAAGTATTCAGATCAGTGCCATGCAAATAGGGAAATGTTTAATAAGTGGTGGTTACTCTCCATCACTATTACTACTTACAAGTTATCCTATAATAAAACTGCATTCTGAAAATACCGAGTTTTCCATAATGATATTGTGCCCAAATATAATAGGTACTCACTTCTACTCCAAATAGTACAACACTTCTAACTCCAGGAATCTCTGCTAATGCTGCTTCAACTTCTGGTAATACCATTGAAAACTTTGTTTTTGGAAGTACCAGTTTTACACCTGTTAAATCAATTTCTTGAACAGTGCTTCCAAGGCCTTTAGGGTACTGTTCTGTTACAATAACTGGAATTCCTAAAATCCGTGCACCTTGCAACTGAAAAAATAACCAAGCACAAAAAGAATTAGCAATATACACATGAGCATATGTATGAATGCATATCACATTTCGGCAAATGAATAAATTAAGTGTACCAGTCTTTGTCCCACGCTAATAATATCTCCAAAATACTTGATGGCTGGTCTAAATCTTTCTTGCATATCACAGCAGAAAAACACAGTGCTTGAAGGTGTAAGATTTCCGAGAGTAGTGAGCTGAGGAAAAAAGAAAAAAACAATGATTTAGGACTTGTTAAACCATGACATTTATTTGCAATGGACATAAAGAAAGGAAGAAAAGTGCTTCTATTGTTTGACCTAGTAAGTCAATTTCTACAAGTATTATCTATTATCTAAAAGAAATTATCTGAATTATGGAGGAAAAAAACAATATTTCCACATAGATAACTCTCTGAATTCCATTAGTAGTGAAAATTAGAAATAAATCCAGAATCAATAATACAGAAATAGGTTAACAAACTTTCAAACATTCACATAACAAAACATTTTTAGCCAATTAAAAAACATATTTGAGTATGTACATACACACACACACACACACACACACACACACTCTCTCTCTCTCTCTCTTTCAAAGAACTGGTTCCATTTAAAGAGAAATGCTCACTGTATAAAGTTAATTTTAAAAAGAGCATAGTTCAATAGTCTTCCAATAATCAGAAAATGTGAAATATATAAAAACATCAACAATGGTTACATTATTTATTAATGGTTACATAAATTATTGTTCATTTTTTTGTATACTTTATTTTTCAAATCTCATTTAAACACATTTGTTGAGTATTATTTAAAAGCATTTTACTTTTACAACCAGAAAAATTCATAATATAAAAAGCTTAAATTTGATGGTGTTGCTTGTAAGTACAAAAAGTAAAAAACTTAATCTGTGTAAAGAAAATAAGAGGATAAAAGAGCAAAATAATCTGTTGCAGAGACTATGAAACATTAAAAACTAAAGATACACAAACACATGCACTCCATAAACAAATTCAGAGCAAATACAAAATTACTGCTGTCAAGATAGATATGCTCAGATGAAATTATTTTTTTGTGGGGGATGGGGAGTACCAGGGTTTGAACTCAAGGGCATTCGACTACTGAGCCACATTCCCAGTCATATTTTGAATTTTATTTAGAGACAGGGTCTCACTTAGTGGCTTAACTCCTCACTTCTGCTGAGGCTGGCTTTGAACTMATGATCCTCCTGCCTCAGCCTCCTAAACTGCTGGGATTATAGGCATGCACCATGGTGCCTGGCTCAAATACAATTTTTTTTTTTTAAGTTGTAGATGGACACAATACCTTTACTTTGTTTATTTATTTTAATGTAGTGATGAAGATCAAACCCAGTACCTCACACATTGTAGGCAAGCACTCTACCACTGGGCTACAATGCCAGACCTCAGATGCAATTCTTAAGAGTAATTTTTAACTTAAGAATAAAGCAATGAAATGATGCCCAGCACATATAGCACCCCTTAAAATTCCATTGTCACCATTGTTAAATGAACTGCAAAGAACCAAGAGAGGGACAGACTCAAGTTTGACATCTGCATTCTTCAAAGTATCTATCACAATCAAAAAAATCAAAGAATTAAGAGCAACCCTGGATATTAGATTTCCAAGGTTTTCAATGATCTTCTCTAACAATTTGAGCACAATAAGCATCTACTGAAAAAGCAGAATTCACTGCAGAATACAAGACTTTAATCTCACTGGTCCTGAATGAACCACCATTCTTACAAGGCACCCCTTAAAATTCCTCTCTTATCTCATTTTGCACTCCCCAAAACACCCACAGATAACAATTATTAATAATTTCCTAGAGAAGTTTGTGTGCCATTTACACATTGGTGGCTTTACCACCAGTGCTGCCTGATTCTGCTTTAGTGTCTCTGCATGCAGCTGACTCTCAGGAAACAATTCCTTTATGAATTAAATGAATCATTAAAACAAATCTTTTATCCTTAATGCTATGGCTGTTTTAATCGGTTTGCATTCGATTTTCTCTAATCCCTTGTCTGTGGGACTCTAGCACTTTAATCTCCCACTGGTGCTTAGTCTATAGGATGTGTACTGATTTGACCACATATAATCTGCCAAATTCATGTTAGAATGAGATCCATCTGTCATTCTAACACTATGTGTAGGATTTTTCTACCTTGCCAATAAAGTATTATTAAATTAAATATTCAAGCATCTTCAGTTACATACGCCAGCTTTGGCTATTTCCTTCCTTCATTCTTAATGGAAGAATTATGCCTCCACTTTGGTCATTTTCAAAAGCAATAAATATGATGTGCATACATAAGCACTGCCAAGAGGCCAATCTGTGTATTTAGTGTACTATTTTAAAAGGCAATCAGTACTTATGACTATGCATTTTAAATTTCCAGTAAACATTAAATCTCAACTGAAAAATCTACATATTTTCTTTTTATAAACTTGCGCTGCGGGTTCCTAGTCATCCCCAATGTGATTAGAGAACACTATATAATGTAGTATGCCTGCAAATGGCCTTGTTGAAATTATACTAACACAACTCAGTCAATCTTATCATTCTTCTTGCCAGCAAGTATGCAAAATAAAGCTCCCAGGCACTAATGTAAGTGCTTGGTGGCCATTCACTAACAAGCTTACAGCTAACACTTGCGTGGAATACCAGCTCTCACATTCTATCTCAGCCTATCCAGACTAAGTCTGTGTATATCCCTAGCAAGTTTAGTGGTCTGGATTCTAAATTCACAGAAGGTTATAAATAGCAAATTAGAAAGCAAACTGCTAGAGGCAGGCAAACTAAGAGCAGCAAAAAATGATAGTTGACAGAGAAAAGATTCAAAATGCAAGAAAAGCAGCTCAAACTCCATTGTAGTCTAGGCCTTAGGTGAAGGAAAACAACACTGTTACAACATAAAAAGTAAGAAAACATCCTTCTAGCACACTCATTATATGTTAAATTATATAAAATTTCAGAAGGACTACAATAGGAAAAGACTAAAATATTTTTAAGTTAAAAAATTTAAATCCTATTTTTTAACCAGAAATCCTAACTATTCAGACAGCTGTGGTCCCTGAGGGTTCTTGTTTCTTGGTGCTTCCCTGTACCTCATTTTAGCTATGAGTTACATGGGGACCACACCAGGTATATGTCATATGAGATCCAGATTGAGGATGTCAGAAAATGCAGCCCTAAAATCCCCAGCACCCTATAAAACCTTTTAGAATAGGAACTCTCAGTAAACAAAGCAAGCACAGAAAATACAGCAACAAAGCAGACTTGCATGCAGACATGACCAGTTAAGATTCTGTGCATCAAAAACGCCCATCTTGCCTAGTTCCTCTCCACTTTCCCTTGAACAGGGTTGCATCTGGTAATTTGCTTCTTTAAGAGCAGAGCATATAGGGGGAAGAGTAACTTTACCTGACAAACAGGAGAAACCTGACAGCATACTTTGGCTAGATGATCGTGACTAACCTAATTCATGATGTCATGTTGATAAAGTGTACATGCAATGAGACCGGCTTTCCCAATCTTCTCTCAACATCCCATAGTTCCAGTCAAAATCACAAGAAAAACTTCAGATGGTCCCAAACTGAGGGACATTCTACCAAAATATCTGACCAGAACTCCACAAAACTCCCAAGGTCATTAAAAAGCAATGAAAGTCAATGAGAATGTCAAATCCCAGGACCCATAGAAATGTAACTGGTATACTGTACTAGATCCTGGAACAAAAAAAAAAAAAAAAAATACATTAGGGAAAACCTAGTAAAATCTAAATAAAATGTGAAATTTAATTAACGGTAGCATACCAATGTTGGTTCCTTGGTTGTGACAAATGTACCATAGTAAAGTAAGATGTTAATAAAGGAATTTGCAGACTGGCACACAGGAACTCTCTATATTATCTCTTTAATTTTAATACAAATCTAAAGCTAAATATATAAATTAAATATATCAAATAAAAAGTTTATTAAAATAAAAATAATGGCCTCCCTATGCTATGGTAGTTGGAGGAAAAATGCTACTTTTTTAATAACTTCCATACCTGATAGGCCAGAAAGGAGGTCCTGAGACAACCAAAAAAAAAAAAAATTCTAACCAATCCTTTCTACTAACAACACAAATTCCAACATGCTGTTGTGACAATATTAGCACTCTACATAATTTAGGAATTTCTTACTTTAACTTATGAATTTTCAGATAACCAAAACTACTACAAGTAGTCAAACATTGAGATGTTGCAACTGCAAGACTGCCACTCCTACTGCAGCAAATTAAAAGTGGACTTGACCCTGTAGTCACCAGTTAAGTGTTGCAATTATAGATATGTGTATATTCAATAAGCATGAAGAATCACATATAAATACATATATGTATGTATCCTCCATACACCTATATACCTATGTATATTCCTGCACATACACAGATAAAATATAAATATATAAAATATAAAAAGATATATTTTTAAATATAAAATGTTGATCACAGTCAATAGCTCCATCACTATAAAAGATCAAATTCAAGTATAAACTTCTGTTCAACATGTTAAAGAGTTTTCAGAGCTGGGATCTGACCTTTGGTTTTATATTCAACAGACTTTTCATCCCCAAGACTCATGTTCCTGCTATGACACTATTTACTCCTTTTCATGACTGCATGTACACTGACCATTTTCCAACAAGGGCTCCTACATCTGCAAGGAATCTGCACTAGCCCTTGCCCAGATCCCACACAGAGTAGCTAGCCTACCTTAGTGATGCCCCGTGTGCCAGTTCTCATTCCCTCCATAAAAGTAATATGTGGTGAGTGTCATATGTTGACTTATGTCCCCCCAAATTCACATGTTGAAGTCTTAACCCCTAGTACCTCAGAAAATGACCTTATTTGGAAATAGGATCACTGAAGATATCATTAGCTACGATAAAGTCATACTGAAGTAGGATGGGCACCTAATCCAATATGACTGGTGTCCTCATCAAAAGGGAAACTGGCACACAGAGACACTCATGCACACAGTGAGAATGTTTTATGCATATGAAACAGAGACTGCAGTGATATGTAGGAGCAATGGAAATCTCCAGCGAGTTACCAGAGCTGAGAGGGAAGCATGAAAGAGTCTTCCTCACAGAAGAACTAACCCCACTGCACTTGATCTCAGATTCTATCCTCCAAAACTGTAAAAAAGCTTCGGCTGTTTAAACCACTCAATTTGGAGTACTTTGTTATAGCAGCTCCCTAGCAAACTACTACACTGAGTAGTCTGTATACATTTAGGATTAAAGTTTTTTAAAAATGTGATGTTTTAAAAAAATATGGTAGTCTACTACAGTCAGAAAATAGGAATGATTTTCTTGAATGAGTGTAGGAAGGGTATCAGTACTGCACTCCCAAGTGTTTCCCATGGACTGCCACAACTACAGGAAGGCCCTTCTCCAGTACTGACTCACTTACAACAGAGGGCTGTGAGGTGTCTTCCCCAACCTGCAAGCATTCTCTACAAAGCACAGGTCAGGTCATTAGAATCTAAGTCCAAATTTCAATTTCACCAACTTCAATAGAATTTAGGTAAATCATTAACATCTCCAGAGGCTGTTTCCTTCCTTAGCAGCATCACAAGAAAAACAGTATCTAACTTTTAAGGCTATTTCAAGGATTAAACAAGCTTCATGTAATCAATTAATAAACGTATGACTAAAACACTATGAAACACTACAATCTTCAGCTAAATCAATGTTTAAAAAAACATACTTTCTAATGAGGTCAAATATCATTTATTAATACGATCCCTTTAGAAACCTATAGAGAAATACTAATACCACATAATTTATGTTAACTTAGTCTGCAGAATTAGAAAAGTGATTTATTTATAAAGTGGATGTCCAGATGTCACCAAGTAGACTTACTGTTAAAAAATTTGTTCCTGACAAAACAGATTTGGGGCCCTTTCATGTAGGCAGGAAGAGAATTTTATTTCGTTCTCATTTTCTCAACATATTTGCCTACCATGAGCACTGATGTCACTGGCATAACATTTATCTCCAGCTTATCAAAGTCGAAGTTTTCTAAAGCCCCAGGAAAGGCCAGCTCTCTCCTCCCCCTTCAGAGCTGAGTACCGAGATATTTCTTAAGACTATGACTTAGACTGGGGTGAAGGTGAAGCTGGTCAGAGCCCAGGATCACAGTGACATTTAAATCTACATTAGGTTTCCCCTTGGCTAAAAAAAACCCAAAAAACTTTCAAATGCAGGTCATAGTTCCCATTCTCAAATACAATTTATTTATAGGTAACCTCTAATGTATTTACAAAGAGAAAAAAGAACACAATGTTTTGGGCATTATACTGGAATGTTAATTTTTCTGACATATACACACACTCATCAAATCAATGGACTGGAGACAACACCACAACCTGAGGATCCAGCTGTCTCCTTTCAGTGCCCCTGGCAGCACAATGGCCCCCAGATTTCTGAGCAACAGCTCATCTCCCATCATGCTTCTATAGCTTCAGTCCCATAATTTAAAATTTTCATCTTCAATCTAGCAAGCAAAGGCTGACCAGATTCCTTCCCCTCTTCTTTCCAAACCCTGTCTTTCCTTTCTTCTCACTATAAACCCTATCGTCTCTTCTGGCTATAAAATGGATGTGCTCCCATGTAGCAAAATATTAATAAAAAAAATTTCTAAGTACATGAAAGCTGGATCCACATCCCTTCCCAATTAACCATTTTGCAAAAAGGTCAAAATAACCTTGTCAGGGAACTCCTTTTCTCCTGCCAAAATCTTCCCTTCCATGTACAGAAGCAAAAATCTCCTAAATGACATCTTGCTCACAATGCCCATTTCCTCCTGTGTTTTGCTTAACCTCTGCCTTCCCTAGTCAAAGGTTAAAAATGGACTGGTAGTGAAATGACCACCAATTTATAGGAAATTCCAGGGTTAAATGTTTCCATTAATTTAAACTTGGAAAATGCCTTTAAAATTAAAACTTGTAAGTCATAAAAATGACCTAAATTCCTACTATACAATCCTCTCATTTACATTCTGTCCTCTGCATCTCTAAATTCATCAAACATGAAGCATCTGACAAAGCTGCAGACACATAAACCACGCATGAAACACCCCATCTTCAGCTACCTGAACTGTCAGCAGATGCTCAGTAACTTTGACAGAATATTGAGGCATAGGAGACACTAAAATTACATAGCCTAATACTAGCAATGGAGGCCTTAAAGATCAGTTCCCAGAGAACCACTGTCAAACACAGGTGCAATGTGGCACAAGCAACCACTGTTTCACAAGGTCACGAGCCACAGCATTCACAGCAAGTATAAGACGGTCTCAGATCCTATAAATTCCAGAATGTGAGCTAGGGCCACAAAGGGTCCAGGAACTAGGTTGGAGAAATAATAAATCCTATTATTTAAACCAGGGACTACACATGGCAGAACTTGTGCTCTTTATCACTGCATCCCAGGTAACATAGCCACCCTGATGGGCCACCTTGAGTCTTTCTAAGTGACAGGCATTTATTCCAAAGAAAATTGAGCAGCATCAAGACATATGAACAAACAAAAGCTCAAGTTGGAGGCTTATTATCCAGACTGCTCAATATCCTCATTTAAGCATGAAAACAGAATGCTATGGCAGATGTCAACTCAGGACCTACCCATGTGTGGTTTGCAAATGCTATGATATGTGATCTTGAGCAGTTTCCTAAATTCCTTACCTTTATATGTTCTGCTCTTCTGTGAAAGGAAAAAATTAGATTGAATCTAAACCTTGAATCCAGGTTTGCATTCTCTTGGCAATGATCACTTACTTAAAGTTGGACCCTAAAACGTTTGTGGAATGAACTCTAGGGTCTCCTCTAGCCATAAGATGTCCATGTCATTATGATGATACAGATGGGTTCCACAAAATATAGTATAGAAATCTCAAGAGTATATTCACACGCACTATACGTTTGTGTGGATAAAGATCACCTCATATAAATACAAAAAGTACCAAAAGGTATATATGGTATATGATGCCTGTATCTATGCATAATATCCCTTGCTATTATCTACTTGTATGCTGGGAGAGGAACCTGGCTAAAAAAATCAAAGTATTATGACTACTAAAATGAGACAACATAAGAGAAAAATATTTTTAAATACATTAAAAGTATAAACATATATGACTGATGTTTAAGAATTTTGGACTGTTTAGTGAGAAAAAATAACCTTTTTAACAGATAGAACAGAGTAATACTATTTTGTTTGAATTATTGTTATTTCAAAGATCACTACAACAAATTAATTAAAAATTACATAAAACGTTTTTGAACAGCCCTCAAGTGACATGAATTATATATTGTCTTTTGACTGTGTACAGGATATTTCCCGTACATACACTGATGTTATAATTTCCAAAACATTAATTAAAAAGAATTTCAGATCGAGGACTTAAATTTTTCAAAATATAAAAATGATACCTTGTGGAGGGAAATAAAGCTTACAGACTTCAGAGGCTAGCTCAGGACAGCATTATCTTAGTTAAGAACCCACCACCTGCCCTCCCAAGGAAAACAGGAAATGCTTCATAAAGAAGTCTTCACCCTCAGTGTAGCACCAGACCTCCTCAATTTTTGGAGTCTTGCCTTGTAAGTGGATTTGTCAAAGGTGCATCCAACATCTTAGGTATTCTAAATAAACTGACAAGGAGGGCTGCAGGGAGATATCCGGCAGAAAAACTGTCAAAGACATAAGAATGAGGAATCTTAAGCAATTCTCCATCTAGGCAGCAGGGCAAATCCACAGGAATCAGATTACCCCTAGTAGGCTCTCCAGGGGTGCACAGTAAAATCCCATAGACTACTGAATATTAGAACTTCACACAGGTTAAAGTGTGTAATTTGGTCTCTCCTGGAATGAGTGTTGGGGTGATGGGAAACATCACCAATTCATCCTCCAACTACAGCTGGAAAAAAAAAAAAAAAAACTAGGGAATGATCCTCAGAAAACGCCACTTGAATATCAAAATTCTTTCTACTCTCCTAGTCCACTTTCAGGTGTGGTCTTCCAAAGAAATGACTTATCAGTTTTTTCAGCTAAAGAAAAAAATATGGATGGTGTAGTACCTAAATTATAAATTATATTCTTTCCTTCCAAAAATATAAATTCTCCGGTGTATCCTTTGATATAAAAGGGGAGGGGGACAGGAGATGGGCCTGTGTGGTATGAGAGCACGGTTTTTAAAAACATAAAAATAATAAACTCTGAAATAATCCTCAGGTATAACTTTTCTCAGTCTGCAGGACCAGGAATTCATGATCTTGCCTAATTTGAGTATTAAAGAGGGTATTACAGTTCTGGATCAAAGGGCTTTTCCAATGTAGGCAACTCAGACGTATTCGACAGAATCAGTTGGCAGTTATTAGGAGGCTAAGCAAATGGTGTTTCACTTTAGAGGAGATGCTTAAGCCCAAAGACGCGAAAGCTGGGGAAGACAACAAGAAATGGCTTGACTACTAAAGTTTGTGTTTCCGCAACTGGTTAACACAACTCCAGGAACAAAGCCTAAAGCCAACACCCCCCGGACAATCTCTTCTCTGTTGTTCTGCATCACCCATCAAAATAAACACACTGCTACTACTGCACAGCTCTTTGGTTACGCAGGAGGCTGGCACACAAAAGCGTATGCGGGCGGCAGAGGTCCATACACGTGGGGGCATTTGCGGGCACCTCGACAAGCTGAGAGGCCCACGCCCCCGCTGGTGACTGTCACCTTCGGACCCGCGCTTTCTCCGAGCTGGCCCCGGGGCTTGCGATAACCGCACGGCCCTTCCAACTCGATCAAGTGCACAGGGCCTGGAGCCCTGGCAGCTCCGGGCACCTGAGGAGCGCGGCAGGGGCGGGGACGAGGACTGCACCCGGACTGCCTGCGTCCGGGAGGGGCAGCGAGGCGCACGGCCCTCCCGCGGGACTCACCTGGATTTGCAGCGGTACGAGGCGCACCTTGCAGCGCTCGCTCACTGTGAAGCCCTTGGGCAGGTCCACGTATTGGCCCCACTCCTCCGCGAAGAGCTGCACCACGAATTTGCGGTGCATGTCGATCTGGTCGCCGTACAAGCTAAGGAACTTCTGGATGAGCAGCTCATAGCCCGCGCCGTGCGGCACCGACGAGGGCCGCGCGAAGACGGAGAAGCAGAAGAGCACCGGGACCGTGCCCGACGGCGCCCCCGTGCCCACGCCGCCGCTGCCAGGGAGCGCCGGGACAGCGGGTTCCGCCGCCGCCATGTTCCCCGAGCGTCTGCGAGCGCCGAGGCCGCCGAGGCGCAGACACAGACCGCCGCCGCGCCCCGCCTCCCCGCGCAGCCCGCCAGCCCGCTCACCCGCTCGCCCGCTCGGCCAGGAGGAGGGGCGGGCTCTGGCGGCCCCGCCTCGCGCGGTCTCCCCGCCCTGGTAGAGGGCGGACCGCTGCGGAGGGGTGGGTGGCGGGACCCGGGTGTGCGCGCCTGCGCCCGCCGCCCTCAGCCGCCCCCTCTTTTCTTCCACGGAGCGGCGCTGCTGCAGCCCCAGGTGCGCGGCCAGCCCGCCTCTTCGGACCGACAACAGAGCCCAGTAACCTAGCAGATCGGTGACCTGCCTCTCTTGCCCTAATTGTTCTTGCACGGTTGTTCCAATTAGCTCAGGGGTTTGTGCTCCTCCTTGCTCCCCCAGCTCCTCCAGCCTTCGGACGGCGGTGTCCTCCAAGAGTTTAGAATTGTGCTTGGGGACTTTGATCTGTCAGGAAGCATCTGCTGGGACGAGTTACCTGTTGGCCTGTGCAGAGTCCTGCAGTCCTTCTGGAGGATGGTCTTGGTATCTGAAAGCCAATAGCACAGATTAGTAGGTACACCAAGAAGACTAGTACAATTCGATGATGCTTTGCAGGATTAGGATCAGCTCAAAAAAAAAAAAAAAAATTCAGTCCCATGTAATACAGAATCTCCAATAATGGATTTGAGGTCTTAGTCGCTTTATCTCCACCTAATTTCTGGGAGGACTTGGACAGGGAACTCCAAAATATTAAAAAGGCTTAACAGTAAAACTTGATAATTCTTGAAAAATTCAAACCGGATTTCTGCTTTTAAGGAGGTAAAATTGATCACCTTCAAATAAAACAATGTTAGGTACACTGCCACCATAATTAACTGCAATTAGAAAAGCATACACTTGGAACAAAGTGATCTTAACTTCAGATCCTGGGGTGATAGGCTCAGAATGTAAACAAAACATTAGATTTGAGGTATTGGAGATGTTCTCTTATAAAGTAACTTAAAGCAATGTTTCTCAACTGGCACAGTTGACATTTGGAATTGAAACATTTTCCCCTCTGGGGGAATATCAGGTACATTTTTAAGATATCTAGCATCATCCTTGGCTTCTACCTTCATGTGGCCCTACTCCTTCATAGTCCTATCAATAAAATATGTTTTCAGACATGGCCAAACAGCCTCCAGAGGGAGGTTTGCACTCAGTCGAGAATCACCCTGCTTCATAATAATGCAAAGACTGTCATTTGACCTGTCTTGCTCACTTGTACCCAAACTGTTGGATATTTCTGGATCCTCATTAAATTTAGAAATATTTCATTTATAACTTGTTGAAACAAACAAAAAAAACTCCAAAAGATGGGGGGTTTTTTGCATATATCAACCCATTACAAGGTCCTCTGTATGCAGATGTACTTATTACTTAATTTGTACTTATAAAATGAAGGTACATGCTCTAGGCTGACTGATTTCATAAAGGAAGGTACTCTGCATAAACTCATTAATAAAGTGTTCCTTCCATCCCACTGAGGTCTTCTAAAATAGAGCAAATTGGTATTAGAGATTGGCCTGGGCCTTAGAACCTCTTTTCATTTGTGCAACTTTCTGAGGTGACTCAGAGTCAACAAACTTCATTCCCCTCAGAACTTTTGAATAGGTTTCTGACTTACGGTAAGGAAAACAATTTTCATATCCACTGTGCTACTTGAGATTGGCTGTTGTCAGCCTAATTTATGGTGAAGTCTCTCTGGTAATGGCACATCAAATAGCATTCATAAAGTAGCTATTTGACGGGCCCATTCATATCTATGGAAGACCAGCTGTGTGTCACTATGCTAGAAAAGGGACTTGAGTGCTCATTTCACTGACAAATTACTCTTCTCAAGAATCTAATTATTAGAGTAATAATTAGAATAACTTTTATAAATGTTATTGGAAGGAGTCAGTGAATAAGAACCTATAAATGGATATTCCAATGACGAGTAGGATATAACTATCCTAAATGACAAAATCACTATTATGGGTAAAATGTACAAAATGATCTCATATAGGACTCTGAAGAGCTTTGGTAATAAAAAGTTAAGCACTTACTTTCCCATTTTAAATTCCAAGCAATTCAAGATGTAAATTTTACAGTATTGATGATTGTGTTACTATACTACAGAAACAAACCCCAAATTTCTCAGTGGATTAGCTAAACAAAGTCTTGATTCTCACTTTTCTTAGTGAATAACAATATTTGACAAGCTGATCACTCCTATTTTGAGCCATATTCCTCACTTCCACTCTTAGATTCACTATCTCAAATTGATTTTTCTTTATTTTCATGCTGTTTTCCTATTTTCTCCTCATTTCTCAAACCTCTAAACATTTTAGTACTCCAACACTCAGTTCTCACATCTGTTTTCTTAAGATTCGTGGCTTTAAATACCAGCCATATACCATTGACTTCCAAATTGATATCATCCAGAATCTGACCCCTAATTCCAGGCTAACATACAAGTGCCTATTCAAGATCTCTGCTTTAATATCTATTAGATATCTCACATTCATCATGATCAAACAGTACTTTTGGTTTTGCCCCTTGCCAAATATCTTCCTTTCCCTGTCAACACCTAAGCAGATGACAACTCCATTTTAGTTAATGAGTCCAATAGCCATGGGTTTACACTTTTTCTCCTATTTTTCCTCTTTCACCTCTAATCTGTTAACAAGACCTGATGATCAGAATTCATTTCCTTTTGTCTGCACCAGTTCTACCACCCAAGACCAAGTCACCATCATCCATCTGACTATAATTAATCAAAAATGATACCAATGACTTGGGCACCTCCATTTACTTTTTTATACCATTTACATTGGCTTTTACACCCCATTTACCACATAGAGGTCAGAGTGGTACTTTAAAAATGTAAGTTTTTGAGCAAGTCACAGCTTTGATAACAATCCTCTAGTATTCAGAAACAGGCCCCAAGAAGTACAGATTTTGGAATAAAGAGAACCGAAATTGATGAAGTTATTATGAGTATATACAAGGACTTAAAAGAAAGAATGACCCTAAAATTCAATAGGAAATATCAACAAAGAAATGGAAATGACAAAATAGCCAAAGATAACTTTTAAAAACTAGAAGGTACAATGTCCAAAATAAAAACTTCCTGCATAATCTAAACATCAGATTATAGGTGTCAGAAAATTATTATTGAAATTGTTAAATAGATGAACAGAAATTATCCAAGGTGAAGAACAGAAAGATATTGAAAAAAGTAGAAAGACAGTTTTAGTAACTTTTAGGATAATACCAAATAATCTTATATATGAATAATTGGAATTTAAGAGGGAAAAGCAAGTCAGAATGAGGTAAAACAAATATTTGAAGAAATAGTGACCCAAAATAGCACCTCCTATTAAGTCTTCAGTATGCTGATTTTTAACTCACCTGTCACATTTGGTGCCAGGAAAGAGCCAAAACAGCCAGTGTGGATAGGATTTTGGAATCAGATTACCTACTGTCAGGATAATAATGACTATCCTACCACCAATATTTGGAATAGAGATTGTTTCTGGCAACGGTTAAAACTTTCACCAGTGGTGAATCAGGATTATATACTAATGGAATGGAATATCTTAGCTTTATCAAGCATTTGAAAAATATGTGCAAATTCTAATTATAAGAAGACAGGAGCTGGGTGACAATTAAAAAGCTTGACTGGTGCTCTAGAAAAAGATGATGAAAAGAAAATTGACAACTGAAAGCCAAGTATGAAAGCCAGAGGCCTTTTTGGAAGCACCACAAAATTGTCTCAATTCTTTCAATGAAAGGACAGAGAAAATGGAAATCAAGACCAGGATTTAATAAGAGCAGCAGAGTTCCAAAGAAGGATAAGCTCTTTTGATAAATGTATATTTTCTAGGGCCTTGTTTGGAAAATGGAACCATGACCCATGAGATAGAGTTGATCATGCTGATAGTAGGAGTCTGCAGATTCCTCTAACTGATCTTGTTTGCAGAAGTGGCCTAGGATTACCTGATTTCTTGAAAACAATACAGGCCTTTTTTCCAGCAAGACATTAGCTTGTCTAGGATCTTCTCACACTTTCCATCATGGTACCTAAGACCATGAGAAGGTTTAGATAACCACAAAACCTGACTATAGATATACTGGACCTAATAAGAAAGGAAAGGGTGTATCTCTCAAAGAAACTACAGAATCTTGTCAGTACTCACCAGCAGGAGCTAAGAAGTTATGTATGGCACTGAATTCTGAGCATGCATATCAAGGATATGGAACATAAATTTATCAACTCAGGGACACTCTAATAGAATATAGGATTTTACACCCTGATGAGGCTACAGTGAGATGGTCCGAACACAGTGCTTCTAGGGATGTTCCTAAAGGGGTCATGAGTATGCTTTCTTACCCATAGGTTATATTAACTGTCTTGCCTTCTGTCATGATATATTCTGAAGAGACATAAACTAGCTGGGCATCCTGTAAAACATCACATTTGACCACTATCCCAAAAATACCATGTCAAAAAGTGACTATTCATGGAAGGCCTTGTTAAGACACAGCATTCTAGAGGAGAGAGGTAATCTCTAAGTTCAAATACTACATTAGCATAATTTTAGGAATTCATGTCCCCCACCCCCGACCTTCCAAGACATTTCCTCCTAAGTCTAGGACAAATGATTGCTTCTTAACACTTTCACTTCCTACCGTGAATAAGGAAGCACAATGTTTAGGCAACCTCTGGATCACAGAAGCAACATTTACCACAACTGAGAATACTGTTATGACTCATTCTGTGTGACGTGAAGTGCTGCCAGCTCTGACTGGGGCCTGGAACAACAGAAAGCATTTTGCAGCAGAACCAGCTCATGGTATAAGCAGCCCTGCCAATTAGGCCACATAACCTGACAGACCTGATAATCACTGGAAATACCAGTGATACAAAAAAAAAAAAAAAATGCCACTAGAATGTGGCAAGCCCTGAGACAAGAATTACAACACAGACACCATCAGTTTTAGAACAAGGTCAAGCCATCT